TCAATATGTTCAATGTTAAAATATTTTGCTCCATTCTGTATTAGTAATTCAAATTTAATTGTTCTTCTCCTTTAATTGTAATCTTTCATTCCTTCTAGTTCCCTTTAGGGTCCAACCTTCAAAGTCCCATCCTATCATGTTTTTTCTAAAACAATTTCAAAACAAAAGCATTTTCCTGTGGGAAGGATTCTTATAATTAATTCCAAAATTTTATTTCAAATTTACCTGGACCCTTAGTCCATTTGTAACTTTCCAGAATCAAAGTTCTAATCACCCTTTTGCTGTTTATTAAAAAAAAATTTTTTTAAGTCCTTAAACTTGTATTTAAATTTTTTTTCACACTAAGGACTGAAGGAAACTCACCTGGTGTTTTCAGACTTGTTGATCTAAAGGTTCCTAATAGCTGAAAAGCAGTTAAAAAGCAATTTCTGAAAATGATTAGAAAAGGAAGTATGCAAACCCAGGGTCCTTCTGAAGGCACCAACTGTGGTTTGAGCAAGATGGCTATTCCCTTGTCTCCCAGAGCTCTAAACCCACTGGAGACTGCTGTCTTGCAGTCTCCTCATGAAAAGCAACTAGAGCACTTGTGGGTGATCGCAAGTCCTCTTCTTGTCTGGAGAGGAATTACCAAGAGCCCCTGTACTTGCCAGCTCTTCATTCTGCTGTAGTCATCAGCTCCACTTTTAGCAGAGCCGTCTTCAGTTTGCCATTTCTTCCCTGGAAGTTTAGTTCTTCTGATTCCCTATCAATGAGGCTAAGACTTCAAGGTAATTCCTGATGTTCTCCTTGAAAATGGTGGGTATAAGTTCAAGGTCACACCATAGAAACCAGTTGGCTTTATACTTCTGCTTTAAGCTAGTCTTCTAACTTGCTCAGGAGCAATTTGTGATATGTTCCACAGTCAGCCCCTGACTTCATCTTTGCTGTTATAACTGAGCTCCAACTTCGTCATACCAATAATATAGTCAATTTTATTTGTGTGTGCTCTGTGTGTTGGTGTCCACATACAGTATATGATGTCATTTTGGTTGTTTGAATATTTTGTTAGCCATGAAGAAATTGAAAGCAACACTCTTCCTTCTTCATTTTTAATGTCCTGAATATGATCTTTTGAATGAAAATGTCCAATTCCAGCCCATTTCAATTCGCTGATGTCTAAGATGTCAATGTATAGTCAATTAATTTTATTTTTCACTGTATTGAGCTTCATACTTCTTAAGTGCCACATCCCACTATAATTCTGTCTTTGCAGCTTCAGCTTTTCTTTTCCTGCATGACAACATCAGCAACAAGATGTCCCAAAGGCTTTAATTCAGCCACATCATAAACATCATTACTACCCCAAAAGATCCTTAGCTCTTCAGTAGCATGTTGAGTGCCATCTGACCTGAGGGGCACATCATCTGGCATTATATCATCAATCACTTTATATTATCTATCTACGTAGTTTTCTTGGTAAAATACAGGAGCGATTTAAAATTATTTTCTCCTGCGCAGTATGACGTGATGTCCTTGCCACTGTCACTAAAATGATCATCTTCCTCGTGCAGCTTCCTGTATCACTCCTACCCAGTCTAGGTACTTGTTTACTTTAGCTGGGCAACTGGGATGACTTTCATACCTTGGGAGACCATCCTGGAGGTATATACTCATAGCACACACTCCTGGCATTCTTCACTATACCTCTCAGGAACACTCACCACCACTATGAACCAGCATAACAGGACTTGTGGGGGAAGGGAGGCAGAACATGTTTACTTACAGCATAAACTGGCATGAGTTCTGGGGCATTCAATTCCCAGTTGTTGATATGGGATCCTATCTGCACACCAGGAAATCCAAGCTCCTTCACACAGCGGTGCAGTTCCTTTACAGCCAGATCTGGAGCTTGCATGGGGAGAGTGCCAAGTCCAATAAATCTTTTTGGGTGCCTCTTTACTGTAGCAGCTAAGTCATTGTTTAATAATTGACACAGGTCTAGAGTATCCTGTGGTTTAGCCTGGAAAGAATAATTAGAGGACTAATTAATTACAATGTCATTTCAGATTGGAGAAGAACATAAAGATTGGTTGAATGAATAACCTTAAGTAGAAATAGTTTTAGAAAACAATTTCTAATTAGGACAGAAGACCTAAGTATCTTTAGTTGATGGAAAAATTAACCTGTGTATTCAGAAGTGGCAGCCACATCATTCAAAAACCAGCACACATGCATCAATGTCTTTTCTGATCTTCTGATGATGCCTGCACATGCTCAGAAGATAATCTACTGAGAGCAGAATTGCCTCAACATGCCAATCAGTGGCAAGGGGCCAATTTGTGAACCTTTCCTTGAATGCTTCATGTATATATTCTACAACTCTCTTGCTAGAATAAATCAGAATCTTCTTTGTAGCTAGCAGACCTTGACACAGCTTAAAAAGTGAAGTGGGGTCAGATCTGGTTAGCATTTGATAGGGAAACCAGGAAATCCCTTGGCTGTGGAGTAGACTGGGAACCTGAAACAACATTTCAAGATGGTAATGGCAGATTAATTTTTATTTAGTTTTTATTTATTTATATATCTTGTTAAAAAGCAACTCTGGGTGGTTTACAGAGAAGATAAAATTAATTAAAAATACGCTATAAAAATAGTCCTAAATAAATAATAAATATATTCCAAAAATGGATGGTAATTGGTGAGTATTAGGCTCGGGGAGCGTCATCAGGGCACCAGGCACCCCCAGGGTTGACTAAAACTCTTATTGCCCCATGTACAGTATTTAGTCCTTTCCAGAAAGCCGGGAGGGTAGGGACCTGCCGCACCTCTGGGGGGAGAATATTCTGGGGGGCGGGGGCAACAGCAGAAAAGGCTCTCCTCCTGGGCCCCACCAGCCAACACTCTCTCACCGACAGGGTCCATAACATGCCCTCTCTGCCTGACTGGATGGGACAGGTTGTTTTGTTTTATTGTGAAGAATCCTGCATGGACATGTTCCTGAAGTCATCAGGAGTCAAGCACAAAAGCGACACTATCTTTACCTTAGTGGAAAATGAAAAGTTTCGGAAGCCTTAGCATCTGGAAATCCCACATTCTCCTAGGAGTTCCTTTGAGTTAGTACATATCTCTGGCTTAAGGTCTTGTTATCTCTGTCTTTGCTAAGTTAAATGTCTTTGTGATACATTATAGGTGGTGCAGTCTTCATCAAGCTGGTATGGGAAAATTACAAGAGACTTGTAATTTAGGAGAACAATGGTTTGAAGTAGGTAATAAGTTTTAATTAATTTAACCCCCCCCCCCCGAGTAGGACAGCATTTACTGATTCCAGGAGGTAATTCCACTCTTTTGTTACATGCTTGCTTCACTCTTAAGGTGTGACTGCCAAGCAGAATAATTCATAATGGTAGAAAATAATCTAGCCTACTCAGGGAGAAAGGGACAGTTTGTTTAACATGTGGGGTAGCTACTTAATGGTCCTATCATGTTGGCAGCACACTTACACACTCAGCAGATAAATTTGGACAAAAACAGAAGCAATGCAAAGCACTCAAAAGTATAGCAAAACATCAGGTGTTCCTGTCAACTCCATGACCTGATACAGTTAACTACTAACCATCATGGAATGCTATGTAGATAGTGACTTTATTTTGGGTAGACATGATACTGTGAAGTATCCCTATTAGGAAAAGTCACTTCCACATCCTGACATTTTTCTGTTGGAATTTTTAATTTATGGCTGGGCTTTAGGAACAGGCATGGGTGCTTTAGAAGTCAAGAGAAACTGCTTACTGCAACTGATGTTGTCAACTGAACACTGTTGGCATGGTAACCTCCATCAGGAGCGATGTTTCTTAGTGAAGAGCTCCTTGAGAAATTGGCAGATGCAGTGCTCTGAGATTTGAAAGAACCCTGAAACATGCTTCTTGGCTGAGAAAGCGATTACTGTATCTCTTTTATTTCATATACTTTCTCCCATGACATTTCCCTCACACAGACCCACCCCCTGGCCAAACACAGAGCATATCTGGATCCAAACCAAAATATCATTTCTTTCCACTGCTTAGCCAACATCCGAGTGACCTAGAGTCAGAGGTGTCTGCAGCGGGTGGGAGCAGGGAACAAAAACAAAAGCCTTTGATCCTGTGGGGATCTCTGCCCAGGACCCTGACTGGGTCTGCATTAATTGTTTCAAATGTGGCTCATAAATCGGGAGATAACATGCCTGAACACTTCCCTCTTTGGTAGCTTCAAAATAAGATTGTTGATAACTACTCTTTTGCATGGCTAAAATATGGGAAACAAAATATGGATGCCCTGCTTACTCAGCTCCCTTGGAAGAGACATTTGTAACACAAAGTCCTGTTGGAGGAACAATATCTATTTAAGCTACTGCACTGTGGAAGAGCAGAATTTAGCCAAGGGGTTTAAGTCCTAGATATAATTCTGCACTCATTTCAGTTCTCCAGGTACTAATATTTGAACACAGCACTGTCTCTTTAAGACTGAAGCTACAGTAATTAAAAAGTAAATACATGCAGAATTTGGGGCATGACATTTAAAGTATTTTGGGAAGCTGTCGTATGTTAGAATGCTACATATCAGTTTTAATAGTCAGCTGGATCGAAATGTCGGAATATTTGAATTCATTTCATTTGTCCATAGTGTTAAAAAAGGAGGAAAAAATAAAAATTATCCCTATTTCTGTGAAATCAAAACTGCATGCATGAACAAATTTCACCACAGTGTTGAAATATTAGTGCCTGAAGAGCTGCAACTGGAGAGAGGGGAATTTACCTAGAGCTTTAAGCAATAGCATCCTCTTGTGCAAATTGAACTATTATCTCCTCTTTGTGACTTCATGTTCCTGTAGTTTTCTTTGGAACAATAAAGAACATGTTTGCCATTCCTTTCTTCTGGAAACAAGTATCAGGCAATATCAAAATTGTATTTTTGGATGAAGTATTTGGATAATAGGGGTAACCCAATTCCAAGATTTCTTGAATCAAACCAATTATCTGGAACCATCCTAGTTTAGCTTCTAGACTAGTTTCAAATGAGAACTGGCTCCTTGACAATACTTGCCAAGAGATAGACTATGCCTCTTGCTACTGGAGGACTACTCAACTGCTCTTTATACTATTAACCTTGATATACTTCTGAATAGTTGTGTGCAAACTATTCACATTCAGAACATTATGAATCACTTACTATTCCAAAACTTTTATTTGCAGAAAACTAGCAGAGCAAAGAATGGTCTGGAAAAAAAGAGAATGTTCTAGTGTTGCCTAGAACATTCTGTCCCTGGAATGATGAGTTTTGCACATTCCTAGTTCTGATCCATCTTTGGGATGGTTCTGAGGAGGTAAGTCCAGTTCACCCTTGCAAAAAAGTTTCAAAGTGTCATGGTAGGTGATTCAAATTTGATCTTTTGGCCTTCAGACTCTGCTATAAGACTTGATTTTGACTATTTTTCTTTAAAAAATCCATAATTAAGTTACGAAAGGCAAGCTTCAAGTTTGACGTTCACAACTCTCAGCCCTTTATGCCAGATAAGCTTAGACATACCTAATATACATTTTTGCTTAGATATGGGCTTCTACATGTAAGCAGGAAAAGGAGGCTTTGTTCTTTTGGGGGACTACAGGCAGAACCTCAGGAGAAAAGAAGGAAGAAGAGCCAAGGCAGGAAAAAGAGAGGGAGCTCCCATCCTCTGATTAAAAAAGAATTCCCAGTCAACAATTGAAACAAAAGGGGAATCTGAATCATAATTTAAAAGTATTGCATTCTTCTGTCAGTTTGAATGAAAACTAGGGAACCTGTGGTATTACTCTTTTAAAAATCAGTTTACCCTTATTGGCAGCAGATCAGCACCATCTTGTACAGTATTTATTTTTATATGTTTCACTGGTTTCTTTTCATGTTACATTCATTTTCAGTTGCTAGATCCTTGGATTGAAAAAAAAAACACTTCATATATCTTCTCCAGCACAGATTACTTGCATTCTAAAATGCAAAGCTAAGTAGAGTTTTTCTATAATTTTGTCTTTTTTTAAATAAAATGTAATTTTGTCTGTACTCTGAAACTGATTTATTTCCAAGGGGAAAAGGACTAATAGTCCTAGTCTCACATACTTTGACACTATATGGCCAAGAGTTGGCCTTATAGCAATTATTTATTTTATTTTTCACTTTTAACAAGTAATTGCCAGAAAGTAACACAGAGTGAGGTAGCCCTGTCTCCCCCATGTGCCAGGGTTAGGGAGAAGGGTGCCAGAGGAAGCACCCCTAAAAGACAGGTGGTGGCAACATGTAGTAGCAAGCCACTGCTCCAAGGGGCAGGAAGTGGGCAGGATGTGAGGCCTGCTGAGAGAGGAAGTTGAAAACCTCCATCCTTCTACCCCATGGGCTCTGCCAAGCTACTAGAAGTCTTCCAAGAATATGGAGTGGATTTTTATCCATTTATGGTAGATATTCAGCACTATATTTCTTTACCAGTATCAGAAGAGGCTTGGGGGAAGGGAGTGGTGAATCAATGTTTGGAATAATGGGCTGCAATTTCAGAGTAAGTTATAATGTTGTCTCTCTTTCTACATGTGTTGCTTTTGACTGCTGCAGCACAAATGGAAATAATTGTGACTGACTTACCCAATAGCTAAACATGACAGGAACTGTAGAAAGCACCTGGACAGTAACTCCTATGGAACAGAAAAGATATACATGACTTAAATATTGAACTGACTTATCCATTAGCAATTAGAGAGCTTAAAAAGTGGTGAATCAGCACACATTTCTTTTTGACACAGTTTTATTTGTGTATGCTGACAGGAATTACTTCTGAAGTCATCTTGTCGGCAGTAGATATTATGTTAGAATTAGTCATGGACAATTGATTGTCATCAATTTTGTAAGTTACAAAAATCACTTTGACTGAGGTGGTTTAGAAAATAATGGACACTGTTCACTATTTATCCATACATTTTTGAAGGGAGTATGTGGATATCTGTAGAGCCTCCACAACCATCTCTTCAGGGCATAAAGGAATTTGGTGGTGTTAGGTGAAACTCATATACAGTATGCCATTCAATGTTAGTTTTGGAGGAGGTCCATGTGTCTGTAAAGAATCAAATGCCATTCTTCTCAGAATAAGTACAGATAGCATATATTTAACCATCTTGGAATCCTCAGAAAAGACTCTGAATAGATATTATGCTTGTCACCAAAGAGAGAATAATAGTTCCAAAATAAAAAGCATGATTCCATCAACCACCCCAACCACTTCCCTACAAAAATAGGGGGAAAAGCCTCAGCAAAACATACTACAGTGGGGATAGAAAAGTCACAGTATAATTGACCAAATTTTGGTCAACACAAATTAAAAGGAGTGGAATTGCAATACTGTTAAGAAGTAAAACTGTGGTTTAATAAATGAACCAGTATAACATTCAAGAAGGGCCATATAACTTCACATCTAATTTTTAAAGAAGTACTATCAGTATGACCAACATTTGAGAAAAAAGGGTAAAATTTTAGGGGGAAAAGGAACATTCAGATATCTTAAAAAGTCAGTGCAGTTAGTTTACAAAGTAAATCAATTCATTAATGCAAAAACATTCCCAAATGTTAAAATTCATAAAAAATTTTAAAAATACATCCACCTCCTTGTATACACAAATAGAGAAAGCAATATATTACTTAAAATAAATCATTTTTTGTTGCTGGCTCTAATCTTTCTTGATGCCATTGGATATCCTGTCACTTGCTGGGACATCTTGTAATCCAAACCAGCCCACAAAAAGTATTACTTCACTTCTGGAATCCCAGATATGCCAATGCAGCAAAGAATATAGATGAATTGAGTTCTGGGAATTGTATCTAATTTGTAATTCAGCACATTATGAATTTGACCTTCAACCTTATTCCTCCATAAATTCAGAGATGCTCCTAAATCAGTACCCCTGATACCTCCCATTTAAATATGCTGAAGCAATTAATTGGAAATATTGCTCAGTAAAGGCTTGTCTCAGGGATGAGTTTGTTTGAGCCTATAAATATGGAGACATTCCTTGATACTCTTTAACCAATTAGAAACATTCTGAGTAGCTTGTGCTAAAATTTTCAGATGCTGTTAATGTACATTCCTCTTACGTTCCAAATTACAGTTGTCTATTGATAGCAGAATGTGAAAGTGATGAGATAAACAGTTAGGTTTTTCAGAGCAGTAGTCACTTTATTTTGCTTGTGAATATTTTAACTTTACCTGGTATCTGTTCTGTAACTTCTCAGATGGAGAAAAAGAAGAACATGGAGAGACTGCACAGTTACAATTCAGAATAAAGTTTTAAATACTTTTTGGAAGAAATAGGAAGATTCAATTTTTCTCGTGCTTTAAATTTTTTTTGTTGTACTCAGTCATTCCACATAAGGTACCACATCCAAACATCAGACTGCCAATTTCGCATCCTTGTGTTACAGTTTTGGAGCTCATTGGTTAACCCCATTCTTAGTAAAAGAAATATTCATACAATTTTGAGCTCATGATAATTTTTGTTAAAATAGTGTCCTTAATACCTCCTTCAACATTCTATAAATCTTGAAGTTATAAATATGTAGGTACGTTATGTAGCATAGTATTGCTAACACATTCTGAGAGAGATTAAAAGGATACCTGAAACTGAGACTTAATAGGTACTTTGTCTCTTAGATTTAATGTTGGCTGTTTGCCATCTGCCACTAATAATATTGTTCTCAGGCCCTCTGGTACAGGTCCTTGGTGGAACTGCTTTCTCATGGAATCAAAGCATAGCTAAGGACTAAGCTTTATGCAAGTAGTTGCGAGGCCAAATAAGACAGGATTGATTGATAGAGAGGCACTCCTAGTTGTAGCGAGTAAGGAAGATGGCCTTGATGGAAATATGCAGGAACCATTGCCTAGGCAAAAAGGGCTGAAGCATTTTTAAAATCCAGAACTTTAAATGGTGCGGATAAAGTGGACAAGGAGAAGCTATTCACTTCTTCTCAATATATTAGAGCCAGAGGTTACCCAATGAATTTTGGAAGATCAGGGCAGACAAAAGGAATTTTTAAAATATACAATGTGTAATCAAACTTTGCTATCGTGATAGGTGGTGCTGGCTACCAGCCTGACTGGCTTCAAAAAAGGGTTGGACCAATTGGGGAGCAGTGGCTGCTAGCCTTGATGGCAGCAGACCCGCCTTGGAAGGCCATCTGCTGGGAGACTACTGGGCTTCTTTGGTTGGCCACTGTGAGAACAGACAACTAGACTAGATGAGCCAGGGGTCTGATCCAGCAAGGCACTGCTTATGTTCTTATACTTACTCTAGAGCACCCTCCCCCTCCCTCCAACTACCTTCTTGTTCTTTCTGAGGTAATGGAACACCCATTTAAAGCAGTCAGTCTTCCAACTTTCCATACCTAGGAACTAGCTACCCACAAGATCTGTCTCGGTCAGGATTCATCCTCAGTTTGTTGGATCTCATCCATCCTATCACTGTGAGAGTGATTCAGAACATGCACAACTCTTTATGGAGAAATAGAGCTGAATGCCATCAGCACACAGATAATATATATAAAAGGATTCCTGATTATCAGCCCCAGCAGACATGTGACATTAAAAAAAGATCCTCCTTATGACGTTGCAGAACGTTTTGTTGGCTTCTGTTGATACGGTTTAACTGATTTGACATTAAGACATTATAATTGTTAACTATGAATGTTTCATTAAAACTGCTGCCATCACACTGATATCTGAAATCTACCCACTCAGTTTGAGGGTATCTGTCAGCCTTACCAGGTAGACCAGAGAGGAAACACAACCAGATGAGCTACTGTAATTCTTCTTTATTATAAGGCTACGTTAACAGAATCTTGCAAGTCTGAAGGTATAATTCTCCTGCTGTCTCTTTTACCCCTGACAAATTAGGGAGGTCTCTTCTGAGCCTTTTGCCCCACCCACTATCCAACTGTGGACTATGCTATCTCTTATCTGACTGTTCCCTAGGCAGTATCTCTGGGCCAGTCTCCCAAGGTCAGTCTCCCAAGGTCATTCCCACATTCCATTACAGTACCTGACTGGTCCATCTGTTTAATCCGAACCTCTGGATCCCAACAGTTCTCTTGGATGACTCTGAAAACTTTTCCATCTTTCATCATTTTGGCCTCCCCCTACAATATACATTCATATATTATACAATATGTTAGCACATTTTTTTCATTTATTTCAGAGGAATAAATTTCATAAATTGTCTTAAAGAATATAAAGGCCTTTGTTGACCTATTCTTAAAAGTATGGGAGCTCTTGCAATATACTTTTATCCCATGACACTGAGCTAATATTAGATGTCTGTCTGGTATCATATATAAGAAGTCTACCATAAAGCTATGGTAGTATTGACCTAATGTGTATGGTCTTCTCCAATGCGATCATGCGTTTCTGAAACTATATTATAGAGAGCCAGTTTCATGTAGTGGTTCAGGTGCTGGCCTAGAAACCAGGAGACAGTGAGTTCTAGTCCTCCCTTAGGCATGAAAGCCGGTTGGGTGACTTTGGGCCAGTCACTCTCTTTCAGTCCAACACACCTCACAGGGTTGTTGTTATGGGGAAAATAGGAGGCAGGAGTACTGGATATATATTTGTCACCTTGAGTTATAAAAAAGGTGGGAAATAATAACAATAACAATAAGTGCCTTGGGTGCAACTGCAAAACATCTGGAGCACCACTTGAATACCATCAGCACTGAAAACAATCAACATCAGTCCATTGTAAAAGGCAGCTTTACTTGGAACAGCTTACATCGTGTGACGATACCTTTAATATTATTAAACAACATCTGCCTATCCCAGGTCCTTGGGAAGGACTCAGTAGGTAGACAAAAATGCTAAATCTAGTCTAAACCTCTGGCTGACTTTGTGACCATAATAATAGCAGCCTTCTAGAAAAAACTGTTATGGGAGAAGGAGCCAAGATGAGAAGATTGTGCAATTTTACTGTAGCCCCTCACACCAGAATATTAATGATACAGTTGTATTAGTGCCCACATCTAAAAATTTTATGGGGCTTTAAAATACTTAAAATTATGTTTTTCTACTACTGTTAGGGAAAAAAATCACTTATTTTATACTTTTTTATTATTTTTTATTATTTAATAAAGCGTTAAAATATTACAAACAGAATCACTTGTGACTAAAAGTTCTGGGGGAATTAAACATGTGTTTAGCTAGGGATTAAATGATAGCAAAGTTGGTCCTTGGTAAAATGAATGTGGTGGGTAGGGAACTGGTAGCATCAACCATGCTATCCTTCTGGACCACCTGCAGGGGTTGGAGTTTGGAGACACTCCTTTACAATGGTTTTGCCCCTTTCTCAGTAGGCAGTTCCTGTTGGTGATTGTGGGACAGGAGAGATAAGCCAAGTGGTATGCTGGTGACACCCAGATGAATATCACTACCCCAACCCCAGGCCACACAGGCGGTGCTGTCATCCTGACCCAGAGTCTGGAGGCTGTGACAGCCTGGATAGGATGAAATAGGCTGAAGCTGTACCTAAGCAAGAAGGACTTATTGTCTGTGATCATAAGTTTTTGATATCTCCAGTGTTGTCTCTTGACAGGCTGGTACTAGCACTAAAGGAAAAGGTTTGCAACATAAGGCTTGGGTTCTCCTGGACTCACAGCTACTGCTTAGATAGGAAGGTAGAGGCCAGGGCCAAGGGCCCATTGCCCAGCTTCAGTTGGTAGGCCTGTTAAAGGCTTACCTGGAACATGAGGACCTCACAACAGTGATTCATGCCTTTATCACCACTGACTTGGAGTGCTGCAAAGTGTTCTACATGGGATTGCTTTTAAAAACCACCTGCAAGCTTCAACTAGACTAGAATACAGCAGCCCAGCTGTAGGCTGATTCACACCAAGATGAACACAATTTCATGTACTGGTTTTGACCTTTAAAACCCTATATGGCTTGGTGCCAAGTTATCCCAGGTCTGTCTTCTCCAAGTCTCAACCCACCCAACACGGATGTCCTGGGAGAACCTTTTGGTAGTAGTCCTCCACCTCTGCACTTAGAGACAATAAAGGGTTACAGGCACTGCTGCTCTAATCCTGCAGGGTTGTTCCAGAAGAGAACAGAAGAAACAATGGGTTTAAATCTCAAGGAAGTACATTTCAGATGAATATCAGGAAAAATCTAACAGTAAAGAGATGTTCAGTAATGGAATAGACTGCTTTGGAAGGTGCTATATCCTCCTTTGCTTATTTAAAACATCTGATTAGATGGCCATCTGTTGGGGATGCTATAATAGTGGATTCCTGCACTGGGCAAGGCATTGGGCTAGATGATCTTCAAGGTCTCTTCCAATCCTTATACCCTATGATTTTATGACTCTATGACTCTCTAAATATTATAAAGGGGTGCCTTCAGAGAGTTAGGAAGAGCACCGAGGAGGTATTCACGCAAAACTGCAAAAAAGAAGCATGCCTAATATACAGTGTTTAAAATGAATAATATGAAGTTCTTTAATTCAGCAGGGAAGGGGGTGATATTTCTTTTAGAAGGCCAGCTCCACTCTCATCCTGTGCCTATAGTTCTGCATTTGGAACTTAGAGGCACAACCTGCAAATCAGAAAAAGTAGGTTTTATATAAGTCTGAATTTATTTCTTGAATTAAAAATAATCATTTGCAGAGGAAATTCTTCAGCTATATAGTTTGTTTGTTTTTTAATCAGGATAGGGCAGTTGCACTAAAGGGTCTTAATGCACATATGTATGCTTATGTTTTGATGTATGGGATTCGTAAATATTCTTACTCCTAAAGCTAGATTTAACTTTGAATGTATTATGAGCTTATATATTTTTCATAACTAATACATTTTAGAACCTCCTTCCCGTTCCCTAACTGTGACTGTGTTTTGTGAGGTCTCAAAATGACTTCAACATTCTGTCATGTTTTAAGAAAATAGCTCCAAATATCACAGGCAATAATTACGCAGTCATTGTCTAATTTCTCCGGCAAAACACTGTTGGAGAATTGATCTTCCAAAGTGCAGGCAGGGCAAAATTTAACCATACAGGTTATGAATAATGGATGTGAGCTTTCTGTTGACTCTTACATAATAATAGATGAGAAAGTATTTAGGGGGAAAGGATAATCAAATTGACTTGGATGTATAAAAATAGATGGTGGGGATTCATTTTGTTAAGTTCAGTGGGAATATTTTTAATACCTGCAGTAACCTACATGGTTATTTTTCTGGCAGACTGTTAAGATGGAACCATTATGGTGCCGAAGGCAATGCTAAAAGGACTGTAATTGCTCCAAGGATTCTCTTAAGCCTTCATAAATAAATGCCAACTGTAGCAAGATAAATAATAGCCTTTCTAATGACTTGAAAGAGCTATACTGTGAATTGGAATCTCCAATGGGCAAAAAAGCATTCTTGATGAGCATACAATAGCAGAACAAGTATATACCCAAACAAACTGCTTGGATCAATAGAACAGGCAGGGCTTTGCTTATTGTAAAAGATGCAAAAATTCATATTCATACTATCATCTTCAGTATGAAAGCTCACGATCCAGAGATATTTTAAAACAAGAACTTGTCAGATCTGTAATTAAATGTTAATTTGGAGCAGATTCTAAAGGCTTTGCCATAATCAGATCTGTGGATCCAGGAAAATTAATTTTGCATTGCAAGCTATGTATGCCAGAGTGAGTTTTCCATAAAGATATTTTAAGACTTTTCTTTTTGAGGCTAAATCAGTTTACTTTATAACCCAGCAATCTCTAATGCAGCATGTTCCAATATTAATGTTTTTACTTTCATCAATCATAACAGAAAATAAAAAAATATTCCGAATCAGATGCTGGGAAATTGAAGCTCATGGCATAGTTTTTAAAAGAAGCATAATATTTCATATTAATAACCTTTGATTTAGTAAACCCTCAGCAAGGAATTTTTGTTTTTTCCCTCCTCATTTTTAAGTTATGTGATGACAACTGGTATTTTCATCTTAAACTCTATGATGCATTCAAATAAAGTAACCAATTAAAACTGTGATGCAATAAAACAACTTTTCATGACCAAGCTCTAAAAATAATAATAATAAAAAGATTTCAGTAGTCAATGTTAATGTTAAGAAAATCACTAAAAAGTTACTCATCATACCTATCATTAAACAATAATTAAGACAGTTGCAGGCCCTATTTTGAGCTCTTTCACTTTCTCAAATGTTTCTTAAAACTGGCCCAAGATATTTTGCTACGTGAGGCACAGGTTAAATTGAATAACCTTCACAGATCCATGTTCATTAGTTTAACATAGTGTTTCTCAACGCTGGCAATTTTAAGATGTGTGGACTTCAACTCCCATGCTGGC